TGTGTGTGTGTGGCTATGTACATATGACTGCATGTGCCATTGGAGGCCAAAAGAGGGCCTCAGATTCCTGGGAGCTGGAGGTATAGGTGACTGTGAGCTACCTGGTCTGTGGGTGATGGGAACCAAATTGGATCCTCTGCAAGAGAAACTGTTCTCTTAACCACTGAGCCATCTTTCTAGTCTCTCCAGAATTATTTTGATTGCAAGTGACACACTTCAACTGTTAGCAAATTTTCAAGTTCTTGAGGTAAGGCTATATAGCTCAATTGGCAGAGTGCTTGCCTAGCATGTGTGAGATGGCACACACCTGTAATCTCAACGCTGAAGAGGTGAAGGCAAGAGGATCAGAAGTTCAAGGTCACCCTTGGCTACATTGGGAGTTTGAGATCAGCCTGGTCTACAGGAGACCTTGTTCATAAAAAAAAAAACAAAAAACCTAACCAGCCCCCAAATATGCCAGGTCTCCCCCTGCTGGGCGTATTTTGGAACTGCACTTGCATCCCTCCCTGTGTAAATGCCATGTTTGTCAGACTGTTTGCTGTCTATAGAGCTTGCTTTTTCTCCGTTGTGCAAACTGGCATCATTCCACGCAGTTTCTCTTCCACTGGCTTGGCAGCTCACCCACAGCAGAGCCCCATTTAACACACACTCATATCAGGCTGGCCTAAAACTCACTGGCCTCAACCTCTCCATCAGCCTTCTTCCATTAGCCCCTGAGCGGGTGGCTTTATTTTTATTTTATTTAACATAACATTTTTATTGATTCTCTGGGAATTTCACATCGTGCACCCTGATCACATTCATTTCCCTATCCTTCCATGTCTGTCCCCCACCCTTGTAATTCCCTCCCCACCCTTGTAATTCCCTCCCCCCCCACACACACACAAAAAGCAAAAGCAAAGATAAGGGGGGAGAGTCTAATCTGTGTTATCTCTACACTCACTGGAGCATGGTCTCACTTTCAGTTCCAGCCCTTTCAATAGAACCGAGTCCTTCCCCTCCTGCACCCACACCAGAGCCATCGACTGTGGAGAGCTACACTTCAACATTCCCACCCCTTGCGACTTCTCGTTGATGACTCCTGTCCAGACTGCCACCTTTTTTGGGGGGGGGGGTCACAGAAACCTTCCTTATCCCTTTCTCTCAACTGTGCATCTGCAGTCATTGATATCACAGTAAAAGTAGCCTCCTTCTGTAGACGAATTTCTAAGTGGTCTTATTAAATAAAGAACACGGAGCCAAATATAGGGGTGAAAGCCTTAGAGATCAGGGAAATAGTGAGAGCCACCAACCTCCTTACCTCACCTGCTCTGTAACTTCCAAAATGTGAGCTACTTCCTGTCTAACCTGTGCCTTTATTGCCTTGCTTTTCTGCCCTCTCATCAGTTCTTAGCCCAGCTACCTCACTTACTTCCTCGTCACTGCCTGTCTGTACAGACCTCCAGGTGTCTATGGTTGGTACTGGGATTAAAGGAGTGTGTCACCACGCTTGACTCTGTTCCCTAGTATGATCTTGAATACACAGAGATCCTGCCTGCTAAGTGATCAGATTAAGGGTGTGTGCTACCACTGCCTGACTTTTGTGTTAATGGCTTGCTATTTCCTCTGATCTCCAGGTAAACTGTTTTTATTAACATACAAATAAAATATCACCACACCCTTCTTCTTCACAGTTGGTGGGAGCACAAATCATGGGCCTCCATACGTTTCCGGCGACAGCACAGACCACAAACATAGCCCCCAGCTGCAGCTGGACCACAGACCCAGATGAGGCCCTCTGAGACAGCCCAGACCATGGACATAAACATGGCCTCAGGTGGCTTCACAGGCCACTCACATCTACATGGGTTGAGGCTGCAGCACAGACCTCTAACATCTGCTTGGCCTTCGGTGGTTATTTTTAGTTTTAGTTTTTGGTTAAATAATAGTGTCATGAGACTGATTATACAAGTCAGTCTCTTAATTTGCCTCTTGACATTATTATTATTATTTGGTTTTTCTTTTTCTTTTTCTTTCTTTCTTTCTTTCTTTTGTTTTTTTTTTTTTTTTTTTTTTTTTTTTTTTTTTTTTTTTTTTTTTTTTTT